GGCCGCTCCTAAGGTTCCTTAAAGTTACCCATAATTTAGTGATGGGAGTTCAGAATTCCAAATAATAATTGATTAACTGGATATATTTGGTAATACAAAAAAAAGCCCGGCTTTTTTTTTTTTGTGTGAGGACAATTTTTTTTCTTAATCTTACAAAAGACCAGATATCTGGAGTAGAAGCATTTCCTCTAATAATTGACTATGGATATAACTTGAAAACTTCTTGATAAGAGCATTATACAAAAAGCATATTCTTCAAATTCATTAGTGGGAACTAGAATTCAGCGCTTACTTTTAGGTAATGACTCATTTCAAAGTTATTGACTTGACATTTATCAAGCAATGTTGTCTTGGTTAATCATATTCTCAAGATTAATATATTCTCACTGACAAGAACTGTATGCTTCTTACTGGCATATCAATTTCCTAGTTACTAATGCTACTTGAAGGAAACAATTTAAATCATTTGGCAGGGCTCCTGTGTTTCCAAAGTCAGAACACTCTTTAGTAGAGATTTTCCATTCCATTTACGCAGGAAAAAGGCCCCAAATAAGATTTTGAACTGGGTAAGCTTATAATATACCTTTCTTTAAATTTGATAGGAATAGCTGGGATTAAGGAGAATATCAAAATTTCACAATATCTTTGAATATGGATAGATTATATACAAACCATTGCTTTTTAAAATCACATTTCTGTGCTATATATATCATTTTAATTGAGAACCATTAATTATTATAATTTGTTTAGAGGTGAGGTCTCACTCTGTCACCCAGGCTGAAGTGTGGTGGCACTATCACAGATCACTGCAACCTTGAACTCCTGGGCTCAAGAAATCCTCCCATCTCAGCCTCCTAGTAGCTGGGACTACAGGTGCACGCCACTATGCTTGGCTAATTTTTATTTTTTGTAGAGAAAGGGTCTCGCTGTTATGCCCAGGCTGGTCTCGAACTCCTGGTCTCAAGTGATCCTCCCACCTTGGCCTCCCAAGTTCTGGGATTACAGGCGTGAGCCACTACGCCTGGCTGGAACCATTAATTATTAACTCCAGAAAAGAGTTCTTTAAATCTAACATATTTGCATTGTTTACTCTCCTTTCCTGCTATGTCCTTAAAATTCTTAATTTTGGCTCCCTTTCCAGGATTGGACATCTCTATTGATTAAACAGTGGGCCAATGATGATAAGCCAAATCAGGCAGAGTTTCCAGGGGGAGGAGATTAGTTCTTACTATCTAAACTGAAAATGCTCATTTTACCAGACAGGCCAGCAGCTTGACTGTGGAGCATTCTGAGCTCACTTCTCCTCTCTCTAAGTTGTAAGATGTCTTTCCTAATTACCTATTTCTTGAGAAGTGCCTAGAAATCAAGTTAGGTTTATATATGAAATTTAGTCCTTGTTTTCTCATAAGAGACTGGGTGCTAGTGAGAGCCTGTTTTTGAGTAGTTATTAAATATTTTGAATATCACCTCTGTCAGGGAGTAAATAAGTAAAACATTGCTGAAGAAATAACTGCCTTCTTTTCAATCACCATACTTTGCAGTTTTAAATTGACCTATCTAAATTCCCTCTTATGAACGTAAAGTACAAATCTGCAATATTTTTATGAATTATTGTTTAAGAAGATACCTTATAAATACTACATTATAGAGTACATTTAAATTTTTATCTACTATGGCTAAATGAATAAGAAACTTGTTGGTTTTATTGTAGTAAAATACACTTATAAATCAGCTAAATAAAAGACTTAATTTTGTTCCTAGATGCTGCATTTCCACTTTGAGAATGCTTATGATTGATATATTATGCTCGTTCCTAATAGTATGCTGGGTGTCCACATATTGACTTTAGTAACTTTTAAATTTTATAGTTTTCTTTTGGAAATCATTTATAATATCCTTCAATAACTTTGGAAATTTTATTTTGAAATTTTACCTCCAAAATATGATGAGAACCAAGTCCCATTTCAGTATGTAGATTCAAATGAAAAGAAGAAGGAAACCTTCTAATAAAAAAAAACATTTGGATATAAATCATAAGGAGAATTCAAGGTACTCACTTGTCATCTGTCTTTCCTCCTAGACAATATATCATCCCCTTATGTGAAATCACATTATGTCCATAGACTTTGATAGGAAGTTTTTTTACTTCATTCCATTTTGTAGCCCTAAAATTAGATGATAGAATTGATAAGCTTTCAGTAAATTTCAGGGTATGAAAATATGAATATGTTGTAGGCACTTATATACCTGAATGCTTAGGGAACAGGAATATCATGCCAACTTACACAGGATCATAGCATAACACTGAATCCAGCGAAGCCTCTGTTTGAAGGTCTTTGCCTGCAACTACATAGATTTTGTCATCTACCTCTCCCAGACCGAAGAGACACCTTGCTGAAGGCAGAGGTGGAAGTCCAACCCACTCAGATGCTATGTTATCAAGCTGAAAAAAAAAAAATGAGGAATTGTGTAGCTTGTTAGAAAAAAGTTACAAGTGTACCCAAAAAAATGCTATATTTTGTGTGTTGTTTAGAATTCATCGAGATAGTCAAAGATCTCAAAAGCAAAATGAAACTATAATCCCAGAGTATCTTAGCTTATAATTACCAAGAAGAATGAGAAAATGTAGTTCGCATACCAAAATTGATAAAAGTACCAACACATCTTCAAGACTTAAAGAAAGGAAAGAGTATAAAATAGAATCACCAGAGGTTAGAACTGTGAGGTTTCTTGTCAAATTTTCTTCCATGTTTCCCTGTTCAGCTTTGAAACAAGGGATTCTGACTGATACTTTTAGGACACTGGGGAAAGAGAGTGTCAGTGCAGGGACGGTCACAGTATGTGAATGACTCCTGCATGCTATATTTAACATGTTCCCCAAGCCGGCACCTGAGACAGCTGGACCTGTCGCTCAGTCCACAGACAACTGGGAGGTTAGGCAATCTCTTCTCTTTCCTTAAGAAGTTTTTAGGTTTTCTGTGTTTTGCTTTACTATTTCTGATATAAGCAAGTGTTAAAGTGAATTCTCAAGTCACTTATTGGGTGTTATTTGACATACCCTTCTCTATTGTTTTGATTTATATTAAGAGATAGCTTTGCTTGTTGTTGCTATTGCACTTCTGCAAGCCTAAACTGGCCCTCCTAGTGCCCACGCTGTGGGGTAGGTGATTCTGCATGGCTGGCATCTGTCTCAGCACTTACTACTGGTAATTTTAAGATCTTCTACTTTGCATTTTAGGACACCAAGGCACAAGAAAATTGTTTTCTGAGAGAGTGCAGCTGCAGATTTGTTCTCTCTGGTGCCCCTTCTAGATTGCAGAAGAAAAATGAATAAAACCCAGATTCACTGGATACCAAGAATAGATGTGGATATATTTGGCTGTGGTATAGGGAGGGGTGTCTGTGGAAGCCTATCTCTTGTCTAGTAACCGCAGTTAAACAAAGCACCAATTAAGACTAGATGGGGCTGGGCGCGGTGGCTCACGCCTGTAATCCTAGCTCTCTGGGAGGCCCAGGCGGGCGGATTGTTTGAGCTCAGGAGTTCGAGACCAGCCTGAGCAAGAACGAGACCCCATCTCTACTAAAAATAGAAAGAAATTAATCAGACAACTAAAAATATATAGAAAAAATTAGCCGGGCATGGTGGCGCATGCCTGTAGTCCCAGCTACTCGGGAGGCTGAGGCAGGAGGATCGCTTGAGCCCAGGAGTTTGAGGTTGCTGTGAGCTAGGATGATGCCACGGCACTCTAGCCCGGGCAACACAGTGAGACTCTGTCTCAAAAAAAAAAGACTAGATGGAGAAGGGAGGCCGTGGCGGCGGAAAAAAAAAAGAGACTAGATGACATGAGGGGTTTAATCCCATACATGCATTGTTAGCTTTGCGTTCACTAATTCAACATCTAGACTTTGATCCTTTATGTTTTCATTTTTGAAAAAAATTCTTTGATCAAGAAGATAGTGTGGGCCAGGCGCGGTGGCTCACGCCTGTAATCGTAGCTCTCTGGGAGGCCGAGGCCGGAGGATCGCTGGAGCTCGAGTTCGACACCAGCCTGAGCACAGACCCTGTCTCTACCGAATAAAAAAGAAAAACAAAAATTAAAAAAATACACAAAACAACAAAAACCAGCTGGGTGTTGTGGCACGCGCCTGTAGTCCCAGCTACTGGGGAGGCCGAGGCCGAAGGATTGCTCACAGCCCAGGAGTTGGAGCTTGCGGTGAGCTACAATCACATCACTGCCCTCTACCCAGGGACACGGAGTGACACTCTGTCTCAACAACAACAACAAAAGAAGACGATGTGTAATACAGTGAAAATAATAATGAACATTTATGGAGTTTTCACTGTTGTCATAGACTTTGAACTAAATGTTTTACACAGGTAATCTCATTTAGTCCTCCAGAGTAGGCACTTTTATCATCCTCATTTTACAGATGAGGAAACTGAGGCACAGAAAGATTAATTTGCCGAAACTCACAGAGCTTTTAGGTGGTATTCAAATCCAAGCTATCTAAATCCATAGTTTGTTTTAAAGAATGGAACAGCAGCCATCATAATCCCAAACCCAAGGGCTTAATTCCCACATCGTACGGCACTGTTTATTTTCCCAAATTACTACTCCTAGGGCACTTTCTAGTACCTGCCAGGCTCTATAGATGAGCTATCAAGCTATTTAACCTCTCTGGGTTCCAGTTTCCTCATTGTTAAAATTAGGTTTGGACCTAGATTACTTTAAGACCTGTTCAAAAATTTGATGAATCTACTAATTCTATGGGGGTGGGAAAAAACTTCTTTTACCCGGGTAAAAAATTCTCATAATCTATTTACAGCATATATTCAAAGGTCAAATTACTCCTAAGTTAACTGTGACCAAGCAGAAAAATAAAAAGCCTTAAATTTGCATATGAATATTCCCTTGTGAGTCAAAACTCTCTTCTATGGTAGGTGTTTTTGTCCTGGCATCTTGTTCTACTGTCTGTGCCTTTTACAGGCAGCAAGGCATGGGTAATGACAGGGAGCTGACCTTCCAATTTTGTGTAACTGTTTTTGTAGCTATAAAGAACATCAAGCAAGTTTGTTGAACCAGAAATGAGAAGCTGTATCGGTAAAAGTAAGGGTAGTAATAGGATGGAAGAGAATAAAGATTAAATTAAACACTTGAGAATAAAGGGGCTGGGTTATGAATATATTCAATAAATTAAATATGAATATAAAAAATCTCTAGGAGTTTGGGGGAATTTATTCTATGGCTATAACTTCCTTGAATCTGATTTCTAGGTAACTATCTGTTTTGATATCATTTTACTTCCTGGATATATTTATAGCCTTTTTCATTGATTTTGCCCTTTCTGAAGTTTATCTGAATTTAAAATTAGGGCTTAGGAAATTTTCTGGCCCACATTCAAGTATGTATGATAACATTCTTCACTGGAACTTTGAAAATTAAGAAACAATATGTATTATTACAACTGCATTTGTCAAGATTGGAAAAAGTTGATTAAAGGTAGTTACTTGTGAATGCAAAGTATGTCAACACTTTGAGAGCATACTGTGACTGTGGTATGACATTCTACACTTGCTTATCTTTGGCCTTTCCAATTCAAGTCTCCATAAGCCCTAGGCCATGATTAGCTATGACCTAAACCAACTCTTTTGAGCTAGTTGTAGGCTACAAAGTATCAGTATTGGCATTATTGAAGATAAAAGTTAAGCTGACACCTTCATAAACTGATAAAGTATAATGCATTGATAATATGAAACAAACTCCCTTCAAACAAACTGTAAAGGGTCCATTAGTTTGAGAGGAGTTGTTTTTCTGGAAAGTTCTGTGGTTTGACAAAACAGATTGTTAATATCCTGACTATCCCAGAAGCCAAAAAAAAAAAAAAATTTGTTAAGTTGTAATAATGTCTAAGTACATCTCTGATCCAAATAAATGTGATGTCATAAATAAAAACTTCAAAATATCAATTCAAATTAGTGACACTGGCATAAGACGGTTTTTCCTAGGAGATAATCCAAAGTGTTTAGAATATGTAAATAGTTCATTTTCAACAAAATTATATGTTAGGCAGTAACCATAAATAAGAGATGAAATGCTACCTCTAAGAACTTCAAATCAATTCAAGGAAACTTAGAAGAAGGTAGAAAATCTTACCAATTATTACTTCTTTGTAATGTGTACTTTGATTTAGGGAAATAATTTGATTTAGAGAAATACATTCACCTAATTTTAATAGGCAAGAGTGTACAAGATTGAATTTAGTTTTTACTAAAATACTAGGCTTTGAAGGATTACAGTCACCATCAACTATAAATAAGACATTTTGGGTAAAAGAGTATAAAGAAAATCTTAAGTCATGAGTTAAACATTAATTAGAACCCCATTGTTCATCAAACCTTTTATTAAATCTGAGTAAAATATTTTTCTCTGTTAACCCTCTAAGTAATGAAAGTGGAAGGGACTAGAATAGGACATCAATTGTAGTAAAATGCAAACAGCCTGAATAATTCACTAATTGGCTAACTGGATAAATAACCAGCCTTCCCTTTATGCCTCTACTTGAATAAAAATAGTCTTTCTTACTTGGAAGAAGTATGACTGTAGAGGTTGATCCTTATTTTCTTCATCCACATATAGTCCTCCTACCACATATATCTGATTTTGCTGGGTAACAATGCTGGAATGATTTCTGGGAATCTGCTCAGCCAGTGCAGTAAGGTAGCATTCATTTTCTGTGGGATCATAAGCCACTGCAGCTGTGTCGTTAACCAAGAGGATGAGGTCTTTGACAAACATTCCATGCCTGGGAATGTCATTCAGGTAACCAGGAAGTAAATCTTCATCACCAACATCACCATTCACCTCACCTGCCCCAGTCTTCTCTGCGTTTTTGCTAGGTTCTGGGAGTTTGCCTGCGAAAGCATCTTTTAGAACTTTGATTTTTTTCTGGAGTTCTGGGTTGCTTTTAATTATATCATCTTTCTCAACATGATCTTTAAAATACTTTTCTGTCATAAGGCGAAAACGGATACAATCAAACACTTCGCTAAGGTTTTTAACCCTGTTTTCCTTGTCTGTTCGCACCCATTTCATCACTGCCTCAAACACTGCTTCTTCCTTTTCTACATTTAGGCTGTCGTTTGAAATGACCGAGATCAATTCCTGCGGAGACAGTTGCATAAAGTCCTCTTCCTTACAAATCTGTACAAAGCGATCAGACACAAATTCACGGGCAGAAATGGCAAGTCTCGGGCAGTCAAGAAGTAGTCCTAATCTTAGGATGGCTAGACAATTACCAGGAGCAAGTCTTTTCTGAAGATAAGAAACGCAGACAGTGAACACCGAGGGGATCTGAAAACGGCTGGCCAATGCAAAAATATCTTGCACATTTCCATCATTGAGATCAATACTGGCAGAGTACAGATACTTGATGATTAAATCAAGTATAGCAGGATCCACGTTATCTAGCACTACCTCCTTTTTTTTCTGCTCATCAATTTCAGATAAAAAATACTCACGGAAGTAAGGACTACAAGCTGACAAAATCAATCTGTGGCAAGGAAGACTTTTGTCACCTGCTTTTAGGGTGCAATCGATGAATTTTTTCTCATCCAGGAGATCTTTTAGACCATCCTGAAGAAGGGTGGATTGGTAAAGCCGCAGTTCCTCTGCGAGTTCCCGCTGGGAATCCATTTTGTGAGTAACCTGGGTAAGGAAGGGGACACTGAAAGCCTTAGCTCCTTGCAGCACACAGGTCTAGCTGTAAAAAGGCAGATCAGTGTGCTTTGCCCAGCTTGAAGTCTTTGCAATTTAATCCGACTGGCTAAATATAGATACCAACTCTAACAGCGGGAATTTAGGAGAGCTAGTTTGGACAGAGTTGTTCTTGCAGCTGTTATAGATTGAAAGTAACAACTGGAACTTTTAATCACTAAGGAAACAGCTAAGAAACAAGACATTTAAGTAGAAATCTTTAAAATACATAAAGCATTAGAGATATGCTAATAAAGGCTACAATAAGAAAATAATTGAGTTAACAGAAAAATGAATCATAAAAATGAGTCACTCTAAAAATGTTCTAGTAGAAAGCTGCGTGGCTCTCTGAATTAATGATGCAGAGGTCAAGAATATGAGGTGAGTTCATCTGAATACTCATAAGCAAGATCCTATTTCCAATAATTATTACATACAAATTTTTATTTTCCATTCAAAACAGTGGGATATAGATTTTTCTTTCAGAAGTAGGAAACTTAAAGATGGTCACTTATGTACTAAAATTTTATAAAATCTTTAATACCTACATTAGAAACTGCTAATTTTCTAAAACATTCTAACTTATCTTTATTCTTAAGTGGAAAAGCTATAATTAGTATTGAATTAAGTTATAAAGTTATTAATTTATTCACGTCCTGTCTTGCTGTACTAAGGATTTGATGTGGCAAACAGTAATGAGAAAAAGTAAAATAAAGGCAAATGGTTAAAAGGAATCAAGACCAGAAAAAAAGTTAAAAGTCAACACTAGGAAAAGAACAAAACCCAACACACACAAATATAATCACTAAATATATTCTGTAATTTTGTGCTGAAAATTATCTTACATTAAATAAAAGGTTAAAAAATTGATATAACTCCATGAGAACAATGTTATCACCAGAACACAGCAAAATCAGCAAGTCCTACATCAGTCATACAATTTGAAGAATAGGCCTTAGGTTTTTTTTTTAAAAAAAGAATATATAATCAGAATAAGTTGTTGATTATAATAGAACATATTAATTATGGAATGTAGAAGTCATGATTTGAAGGAAAACTGATTCTTTGTTTATATATAGATGGTATATAGTTCTTCATTACTTTTATTACATAATATTAATATTGTTAATATCATATTGTTAGCAAGGCTATAGAAATACTATAATTTCAAAGGTTGGTATTCTTAAACATGCCCAAAAGAACATAAGCTCTGTGAAGACAGGGTTTTTTTTTTTTTTCCAGGGTCTGTTCCGTTCAATTGTATAGCCTCAAGGGTACTCTATAAATATTTGTTGAATGAATGAATGTGCTTCCAGCTCAGGGAATTATGTATTTTTACACTTCAATGTCTCCAACCATGAGTAAAAAGCTTTTTCTTTTATTTTACATCACAGTGAACTCAGTGGTACTGTCAGCTGCTAAAACAACAGCTGAAAGAAGAGCTCATTGACTCTTTTTCCATTTATAGATGCCACTAAAGGTTTTAACACACTAGAAAAAACTAGCAGCTGCTTCCTTGTTTAAACAATAAATGACTCATTTCTCTCTATACGTAACATCTAACATTTGAAAAGATTAATGAGTCAGATGCAAACACCATGACATTTGAGATTACTCCTTACTAGTCGGCAATTTTATAAAGTCTTTTTTGCTTGAAAAACAGTATTTAAATATTATGGCAGCATTTTATTTGCCACCCATACCAATTTTTCAAACAATCTTCTTCCCCCCAATATTGGTGGTTTATTATAACCCCATCCCTTAAAAATGTAGACATCCTTTTCCATTTAAATGAAGAAACCCATTTGTAGCTTTTGTTCATTGATTTTTTAATCAACTCAGGTTATCATTCCGTTGTACTGTGTCTATGTAGTACATATAGTTGCATCTTATTTTAAATTTTTTTACACAATCCTTTCTCTCTAGAAAAAGAGGGCTCTTTTGGCTAGTATCAATTATTTGACAAAGGCTTCTTAAAATGCTTTTTACACTGAAGCAGTGGCCAAAACACTGAATGATGCTAGAGAAGTCACCTGATCTTATTTCAAAAATAATATCTTATTTTTGAAAATTTCATAGAAGTTTCAATAAATACAAACAAGGCGAAAGTTATTAAATGAACAATACTATTTCCTTACAAAATAGGTGTATTCCTACCTAAACTATATTGAAATTATTTATAAAATAGCACCCAAGACTTTATAGAGGGGTTGATGTACCCCAGACTTAGTTATAATTATTAGTTTTTACAAATATGATCCTCTAAAAATGACATGTTTAAGGACTGTAGTTTGTATTAGAGTTGGTTTACATTTGAAGCTATGTGATAATATATTTAAACCAGATTTTTATAATTAAAGCAGTATTTTGATTATTCTGTAAGAATAGTCTTATTCTTTTAAATAATACTTTCAAAACATTAAGTGGTGCTGCATAAATTCTTTATTTAACCCAACATGATACAGTCATTTAATATCTGAAAAACTAATGTTTTACAAGTATTAGGTACAAAGTAAACATTTACAAACCAGGTACACTTTGATTACAATTTTAAATATAATTTTTAGAAAACTGGCAGTTTTCTAAATTAGTTTTTCCTTAATCATTAAAAAACTCTTAAAAGCTTTAAATATAAAAGCTGTAAATATAAAAATTATTCCATGGCTTATAGCAGGTGACTAATATCTTTAGTCTTGAGATATCTTTAAATAGAAATGCAGCTCAACTCAAGATCAACTCATTACTTCCCAAAGTCCCTGTAGGGTGAATCCATCCTTCAATTTCTCTATTGCAAGCCCCAGTTCTTCTGAAAATACAGGTTCACGATCTTGTTGCTTTTTGGGAGATAAGAGAATGAGATGGGAATAGAGAAGGTGGGCAAGGAAGAAGAAAAAAACAAAAAATAGGTTTCACATAAGTTTGTGAATGCTAAATGTTGGAATACAGAAACTTTTTTATACACTATAAGTAAAATATCCTTACCTTATTTCCATCAGCAAAATAAGCCTATAAAACAAAGAAAATTCTATTTTACATACTGGACAAATAATACTCCAATAGATCAGTGGGCTAAGGAATAGGTAATTAATTTATAGAGTAATGTTGTAACTAAATGTATTTCAGGTTCTGTAGCTGTGTGTCTAATTTTTTTTCACCTATCTCTACAATGCTGGTAGCAGAATTCACTCTGTTAATCATTATTAATGTCTACAAGAATTATGCTTTAAGCTCTAAAAAAATGTGCTTTGTAATTAATGTTTGATGAGCATTGTTAATTCAAAAGAGATAAAAAGAATAACTTAGAAACTATAAAACTTCTTTCCTACTTTTGGTTCAAAAGAAGATGCTGGCAAAACAAAATAAATGCATATACTTTGAGATAGTCATAGTTTATAATTAAATATTTTATATTAATTTTACATAATATTTGTTACCAGACAGGTATTCTGGTCAGATTCATAGACCACAGTATGGAGAAAGCACTATTATAATTTTGGTTACTAATTAAATAATACCAATTTGGAAATAGGAAAGTTTATTGTTCAAATATCCTTTTAAAAATAATATACCTATAAATTAAGAGAAGACCATTTTATAAAGATTAATTATGGAAAGTGTAGAGTTTAAATTAATTGACTATAATATTTGACATGTCCTATTATTCTAAGGTATGAAAAAACTTTTCAGATTATCTACAATCCTCTGAATAACTGTGTTCTCAAACTATTTCCCACTTTGGTAATTTAAAAGTGTTGTCACCCCCCAAAAATTCCCTCACTAAAAATATTACCTTCGAATTCACTTTTAAGATACTGTCAAAATTCTCAAGTTCTATTTTTACACACTTAAACTATTATTTAATTAAACAGACTCAGACAAAAACCGTAAGAAATTTAATGGCTCTCCTTTGTGATGCTCACCACAAAAGCATCCGTGTGATCATCGGAGTCTATTTCTACATCATCTTGAATTTGTTCAACTGTCAGGGCTTCAAGGGGCTGTGGCTAAAAATCAATCAGTATATGGTAATCAGAGACAATATTAAATGTGAGAGGTGTAAATACTTGTAAAAGGATAACACAAACTATTCAAGTCTTACAAAAATCACTATATAATTTATATTCCTTTATTTAAAAACTAACAAGTAATAAAACTAGTCAGTTAAAGCCAAGCTTTTAAATATGAAGTCAATATCATCAAAAGAATTAAAATGGCAAATTTAAACACACTTACTGCAATACCTAGAGCTATCCTTAAAGAAAAAAAACTCACTTTGAGTTTCTTTCACATTGTTAAAAAAACTAAGTTTTGTAAAACAGCAAACTTTCAATTTTCCTCAAAATAGTCATTAAATAGAATTTGTAAAAAGTAAAAGAATATTTATATGGAATATTCCTAAAGTAAAGGATAAAATATAGTGAAGCTATTTACTAATTTGTTCATTTTTCAAATATTTGAGTATCTTTGTTATATTAGGTACTATGCTAGTACTGTTAGGGGTATAAAAATCTCAACCCTTACCCATGAAGGGTTTATAATTTACTGAGAATAGAGAG